GTTTTGAAATAATCTTAATGTTATTAAAGATGGGTTTATGTAGCCAGAGTTAAGTAAAAAATATAGTTTGAGGCAACTAAAGATATTGTTTTTTTAGGGAATTAAACATTCAAAGCTGTTTATTAGACCTATGTGCAATTAAATGCCATACCTATCTAGAAACCAATAGGGTTGTTATTTTAGGCTAGGAGTACTTAATCGATTCTGGAACACTCCCTTTTCTAAAATCCATATGAAAGTGAACACATTTTTAGTTGATTGGAAGTAGTGGTAGGAAGTAAGTGGTTTTAACTGATTCTCATACGAGTTGTTAACAACAGCTGTTGATCCACGTTCCCCAGTCATGTTGCTGGTTTGTATGTAGATGTCGGAGGCTTGTCCCATGTACAACAACGACGGATCTGTGTTTGCAACCAACAACACGTGTTTAGAGGTAACTAACAAAACGTAACCAGTTGGACTTCTCAAAAAGTTTATTTAATTATTACTTGGTTAAGATGTTACATAGCATTTTTTTGGTGTTAATGTTGATGTGTGTCTTTGTTCGAGACGATATTCTTAGCTAGTAACAATTTAATTTGTTTGATAAAATTACAGCGCATATCAATTGTATTATGTGCGTTGGTGTACTCTTACGTCACTGTATATTTTTACCGTATTCGTTAAAAAATCATCCTAACCCTATATTGTTACTAAAATCATCCTTTCGTTTTATGGCATATTTGATTTATAGCCAAATTATAATATCTGGGTCTAGAATTGAACTTTTTCCATTAAAATCTACAAACAAACTATTTATTTGACAATACGAGCACGTAGTTTACACAATTATGGGTTATAGCTGATCAAGCTGAATATTTGAACACCAAGCTACGTTATAATATGGCGACCCAGTGGTTCTTACCTTAGCCTTAGCTGTATGTCCACTTAAAAAAAATAACTCTCTCAGGTCGAAAAGTTGTAACATACTTTGAAGAACTACCTCCGCAAAATATCTTACGGTTATTACATTTTATTTCTTGTCTACGTAATATGTATTAGAAATATCGGTAGCCAAGTTGTAACCAAGATTTATTCACCGAGACGTCACGGAAGTAGTCTCACAGCTGTTAAGCAGCCAGTGACAAATGCCGCAGTAACTTACGCTCATGTCAGGATCCTTTTACCCGCCATCTTCGCCGCTTCATACATGTCGTCTGCTTTGTGTACTCTCAAGTGACTGGGGATTAAGGGGATTCTCTACTGAAAATCGAGAAATTTTTAAATTTTTTAAATAATTTTTTTTTTGTTTTATTTTATTTTTTAGGATGTCCTTTTTCAGAAAAACCATATATATAATACCATTATGACTGTTATATATATAATAAAATAATATAAGTGTGGTGTTGCACGCCGCCGGACTAGTCTCGAGTAGCTGCCCCGCTGGGCAACTTTGTCTGTTTTCAGCAACCACTCCTGTGATTTCACCAAGAGTTTTGTTATATGTAATATTTCTATTGGTTTACTGGCTTAGTACTTACTCTATGCTGGCAGTGATGTAACAAAAATAATACAACCAGCTGTTTGATTGCTTACAAACAGCAACCAAAACAATGTTTTGTTTTCACATAACCTCAAGAAGTGTTATTCTGCTTGTGTTGTGAGTGTTATTCAATGAACTAATTATTTGTCAAGTAAAATGGGTAGAACAAAGAAAACTAGGAAAAACATTGTAGAAAGGAACAGACTCAACTCTGCTAAAAGGTTTTGTAAATACATACGACGGTACAGTGGTGTTTCGAGCACAAGTGCAGAAGAAAGTGAGACTGAACCCAGGCTTAGGCCTATGTCTGTTTCGTCTACTCAAGGGACTGCTCAGCCTTCTACATCTGTAAGTACTTATGTTGATGGAGATAGGCCTACTGAAAAAAATGACAAACCTACAGGGTTTGCCTTGTATAAGAGCTACAATGAAACTATAGAAACAAATGCAGCTGCTCCCAGCTATATCATGGTTGATGTAGCCCTCCTGAAATCATTCATCTGCCAGTTCCCCTGTTCAGAATGTTTCTGTAAAACTTTGGAAGTAAGGAATGAGGATAGCAAAGGCTATGCACATTTTTTAAAACTGCACTGTAATTCATGTCTGGCAGAAACCGTTTTCCAAACTTCACGGCAGGCTGGACATTCTACAGCTAACTCTACTCGAGCACCATATGACATCAACCGAAGGCTTGCACATGCATTTACCTCTTTAGGGAAAGGCCATAGAGGCATGGAAGTGTTTTCCATGCATCTAAATATGAAACCTTTAGCTGTTAAAGCATATCATCGGCACCTGGACCAGTGTCATACAACCTATCTGGAGGCAGCGGATGCAGTTTTGGAAAACGCTAGAAGTGAAGTGCGGAAAGCATACTTGACTTTAGGGAACCATCCTCTCGATTATGTAGGCCCTTTAGATATATCTGTAAGTTATGATGGTAGCTGGCAAAAGAGAGGCTTTACATCAAAAAATGGAGTTGGCTGTGTAGTGGATGTTGTGACAGGTGTAGTCATTGACTTTGAGGTCCTCACAAAGCATTGTCGCCAATGTGAAAAAATGAAGCGGATCTTAGGTGCTGAATCCGACACATATCAGAACTGGGTTGCTGCCCATGAAGATAAATGTGACAAGAACTATGAGGGGTCTTCTCCTAATATGGAAGTGGTTGCGGCCGAGCGCATGTGGAAGAGATCACAGGACCACGGTTTCCGATACACAACCGTGGTATCGGACGGCGACTCAAAAACTTTTGTCCACTTGAGTGAAAACAATCCCTATGATGGTGTAAAACTTGAGAAGGTTGAGTGTCTCAACCATGTAGCCAAGAGATTAGGCACAGGCCTAAGAAAAGTTGTGACAGACAATACGGGAAAGGGTGACCCTCTTGGCGGAAAGAAATACGGAAGCTTAAAAGCATCGACTATCGACAAACTAACTGCTTATTACAGAAATGCAATAGAAAAGAACCTGGGAGACATAAAAGAGATGAAAACTGCCATATATGCAACACTGTACCACTGCAAGTCTACTGATGAGAAACCACAGCATGAAAAGTGTCCTAAAGGAAAGGAGTCTTGGTGCTTCTACAACCGAGCCCTTGCCAACAACAAAACCCCTGATTCTCACAAAAAAATGATAAAAACACCTATAACTGAAAAGGTAGCTATGAAAATAATGCCCCTGTACCAAAGGTTAGCTTCCGATGCCTTATTGGAAAGATGTGTTTCAGGCAAAACACAAAACGCCAACGAAGCTCTACATGGGGTTATCTGGTCAAAGTGCCCTAAAACAAGTTTTGCATCCAGGAAAAAACTTGAAATTTGTGTTTGTGAGGCTGTGTGCCAGTATAACACTGGTGTAAATAAGTCTATTTGCACCATTCAAGACAAAAGTGGGATTAGTCCTGGAGTTGCAACATCTAGAATAGCGAAACGCTTTGACAAAAAGCGACTTGAACTTTCGAAGGCGCGAAAGATGTTGAAGTTTACGGAGTACCGTAAAAAGCTTAGACAAGCCCAGTTAGTAGAGGAAGAAAGAAAAAAACAGAAAGAAGGACTGACTTATGGAAGAGGAAGCTTTTAGGCAAACTAAGTGATGTATATAGTAGGATAAGTGCGTTTTGTTCTTTTTTTTAATGTAATTTGTGCGTTTTTCATTTGTGTTGTGTTTTATTTGAAAATTATTTTATGGACTTATCTACGGTATCCTGGCAACAACTTCATCCTTTTATTGATGGTGAGTCCTTTTATAATTATTTGATTAATAACATTTCACTATAAGCCTTTTAAAGTGATTTTATTTCCATATAACAGGTTGGTAATCAAAAGAAAATAGGATAGGGGTTTTCAACGCGCGATTCCCGCATATTTGATTTTTTGTGTTTTATAAACATATAAATTGATATATCTCAGAAACTATTTGAGGTAGAGGGTTGAAATTTTTTTCAGGCATTCCTCATTAGTATATCTAAAAAGTTAGGAAGATTTATGCCAATATCACACTTAGAAGTAATAAAAAAAAATAAAAAACATTTTTTTGAAAAAAAAAATTTAATTTTAATTTTATTTTGCATGTAACTTTTTTTTATACACAGATAAAGTTATAATTTTTCCTAACTTTTTAGTAGACTAAGTGCCCTACAAAATAACACCTTGATTGTGAATATTCAGCCAGTAGAACTTAAGATATATCAATTCAAAGATAACACTTAGCTTTTCCCATAAAACCCCCATAAAAATAAACATACGGCTATTTTGTAACTTTTGACTATAAAAATTAATTTTCATCAAAGCTAGAAACTATAAAAAAATCACCAAAAACAAAGAGTTGGCATATTAGCAGATTTAGCATTTTCAGTAGAGAATTTCCTTAATGTATTATGTATGGGACTTGGTAAACGTACATAAAATACTAATTTTTCTTTTCTTTATCGGTGACATAACTATTTGATCAATGTTGTATGTGATGGTAATGTTATACGATGTAGTAAAATACTCGTACATCATGCAACACTATTATATATATTTAAAATAATACACTATAAAAACTTTCCAGAATGTAAATGCATAAACATGTTGAATGAGCGATACATTTTTACCGGACACATCTTTCGTAATCAGGCCGAAACAGAGAGTCGACGAAATAACATTAATTGAACAAAACCCCAAGATTCATAATATCAATATGCTTACCATTATTGTAAAATACTTATGACAAAACTAAAATGAAAATAGTTGCTTTGTTTGACTAATTGAAAAACAATGGTGATACGATAAAATATTGGTTTCACAATACCTAAAAATACAGCAATTTTACCTACACATCAATGAAACTAAATACTTCTCATCATTTAAAATAATTTCTAAATAAATTAAATGCGTATACTATATTAATAACATTATACGTTACTTGCAGATGAATTAACATTTTGGAATGTGAAGACAACTAAAATATGTATGTGATTTGTATTTTTCAGACCACAGAGGACAAGAATTGGAAGTCTTACTGTAGTTCTCCGCCTTCTACGACAGCGAGTAAGTATTTTTTTAAACAGTAAAAAGCTTATTGTTTATACATCTAGTTAATCCTACGTCCTATGAAACCTTTTTGTTTCTTTAGTCCCCATTCACAACCTAAATGTGTTTTACAAAGCAAGAGTAATTATTACTGGCAAAAGAAAATTATTACATCAAAACACTCCCATATTTAATCATGAATTACAATAGGAATCGTTATTTCGTAATAGATAAATAAATTTAAAAATACAGTGTTTTAACCAGAGCATCATTGTTTTCTAGAATGTAACTATAGTTGAATTTAGGTATTTACGTGGACATTATAATTATATTGACCAACTGTATACTTTCTCTTTTAGTTACGATATAATTTTATTTATTTTTATTTAATTTTAGTTTATAATTTTTGGTGACATGAAGGTGCAACACTTTACAGTATTGTTTATTTTTTATATGTAACGATACTTCGAACTAAAGTATGTTATTAATATTGGTTGTTTATTAATGTGTATTAATATTATAATCACACTTATCATTGTGTTAACTATTTGTACATAGTTTGTGCATTAGAAGAAAATCGGTATTTTACTTCTGCATCCCCTGTTTTGACATATTTTTATTGTGAAATCATAACACATTTGACGTTGGAATTCGATGTCTACTTCAAAGTAGCAGATCCGTATTCAAAACGCTTATTAAAACGTTAACACATACGATTTATCCAAGCAAGCATTCAGGTGGAGTTATGCTAAACTGAAACGCACAGAGAAAGCTTCAAAGTTCATCACACCGGATTATATCTAGCTTTGCAAACTTTGATTGGGAATTTAGTTGTTATAATCAATCATTGAGGTAACATAACATGACGTAGCTTAATCAAATAGAACACGTGACTAGATAGTTTTGATTTTGAATTATAATTTCTTTACATGCCTGATCATGGAAAACTAAGAAATACTAAACAATATGAGCATTAGCACATTGTGTGAATACGTTTTAAGTTAACCGTCTTAAGTGTTGCCAACCTATTTCCAAGCGTACATGGATTACGTGCATAATAAAAGCACGCTATTTTGTGTTGTTTGGTTGGAATACTGGGGTGCAAATAAGTAAAAACTGTGCTACAAATGCAGCAATTAGCAGCTTTCTGTACTATAATCAGTGCAAGAAATCCCACTTTGTCGGGTGACTGAAGGAAAAAATAATTTTAACATACAAATCACTCACTATTGCCAATAACTATGTAAATAACTTCTTGATCAGCATTGTACGTGTTATTAAATTTACGGAAAGTAAATAAAAGAAACGTCTTATAACACTTAAAACATATATTTACGCTTATACTGTTAGTCACAAGACGGTAAATATACAAAAAAGATGGTAAGTGGTGATCGATTTCGATTGGACACACCAATCATCATCAGACCCAATAGGCGAATGACAAGAATCATAATGGCGTCCCTGAATCCCCCCCCCCCCAAGAATCTTAAGTAAGGACGCCATTAAGATTCTTGTCATTCGCCTATTGGGTCTGATGATGATTGGTGTGTCCAATCGAAATCGATCACCACTTACCATCTTTTTTGTATATTTACCGTCTTGTAAGTAACAGTATAAGCGTAAATATATGTTTTAAGTGTTATAAGACGTTTCTTGTATTTACTTTCCATAATAACTATGTTTAAACAAAGATGGTAACTATTCTAGTAATTGGTACATCTTCTAAGGTTTTGTAATGTGTAAGGATAGGACAGTGGTGGTTAGTTGGAGGGAGGATAGCCACAGGTGGCCCTTTGGGATCCTTTATACTCTTGATTACATCCAGAATAAGGGCGCATATAATTTACTTTTCAGAACACATTAACAGCTCTATATCATTCAGATTGCGTTATCTCGTTTTATGTAGAAAATATCTAATGCTACAAAAACAACCAAAGAAATATTTAGTTAAAAAGCTGAAGATGTGTTGAGTTCACGCAGTTCGCATTTTCTTTTACATTTCTATTCAATGATGGCGCAACCCTCTAAGCCTAGCCTTAAGTAATGTGTAAAAAAATCTGGGCTATGTGGGACTATAAAACAGTAAAAGATCAACCACCTCTACTTATAACCAGACCTATAACTGTACTTGTGAAATCTAATTCCTTTTTTATCCAATAGTTTTATAATTTGTACAACATTATACAAATAATTGTATATTCAAAAATTAGTGCTTTACAAATTAATCATTCACATAGGGTTCTTAAGTTTCTCTAACAATATACTAATTTTATTTGCTGAACGTATGAGAAAAAGTTGTTGGATTCTTGCGCAAACGTTTCAATTTTTTAAAGTACTCTCCAATATCAGGTCATAGTTCATTAGTTATATTTGCAAGAGAGTGTTTCCGTGTAATTAAGGTGCGTTAACATTATTATATCGACTGCAGCTGGCTCCAACCAGTCAATCTTGTTGAGTGATTCACACTCCCCTCCCTACCCTATGTCCGGATTACAACATTATTAGAATAAATTCAAACCTCATTTATTATCGTTCAGATTAATAAAAAAAATAACTCTATTTTTTACAATCGGTAAGTTTTTGATTACAAAGAAGTTTTTTTCCACAATCCTCTACACCAAATATCTCAAAAATCCTTAAAAGTGGCATTGGGTTTTCGTAGAACAATATACAGCGAGGAAGTATGTAGGGACATCTGTTGTCAACAAATATAGACTGAAGCGACTAGGTATTACATGGTATTCAGTCACCAGAGAGTAAACATGATTTTTTAGGATATTTAGAAATTTTAGTTCAAAAAATGAGTAAGCTTGGAGGGAGAGGCCTGCCTTAAATAAACGGCGAACTGCAAAGGCAGAATGCTTAGTAAAAAGATGGGACGATCTTAAATGTTTCCGTTTCTTTAATTTTTACTGTTTCTGAGTGTGCGTCTACAAAAATTGATTTATAAAAAATTGATTGATAAAATTCTTATTCGTTTGAGAGACAAATTTCAAGAACATACATTGTCATTATATTAATAATCCTTGGGGTTTGAAGAAAAATTAATTTTATCGTAACTATACAAGCTACGCAAGCTATTTTTTATCGTGGTTACGTATAATTTGAAAAATGTGAAAAAAACTACTTTCTCTTAGCCTGGAGAGAGGAATCAACGGTTTCCATTTTTCTACATGTCACTTTTTACGATAAAATTAATTTTTCTTCAAACCCCAAGGATTATTAATATAATGACAATGTATGTTCTTGAAATTTGTCTCTCAAAAGAATAAGAATTTTATCAATCCATTTTTTATAAATCAATTTTTGTAGACGCACACTCAGAAACAGTAAAAATTAAAGAAACGGAAACATTTAAGATCGTCCCATCTTTTTACTAAGCATTCTGCCTTTGCAGTTCGCCGTTTATTTAAGGCAGGCCTCTCCCTCCAAGCTTTGGTATATCCTCTTGAGCTGCATACCAGACATGACCAAGTTAAAATTCAAATTATCGCTTCTTTCTCCTCTGGGGAGACAACTTTCTTGGATTACCAAAACATTGATTTGACCAAACAGCCACCTTAACAATATCATCATCAATTGATCACGCTTACAATGTCAACGTTACAACATTATAAGGACTAGGGTTTGGAAACTTCCTTAGATATCGCCATCCCATCTAAAACAAAACCAATCCCTAAAGGTATGATTCCATCACAATTTCTTTAGAGATGATAAATGAACCTTATATTATGAACACTGCGCCACAACATGAATAGATATTGTACAATTCAATATTGTCCGTGACACTGTCAGAAGCACGTCTCGCCTACTGTCCGTGCCTCATTTACTAGGACGTGACGTCAGTATAAGGTTCCAGCTCGGTTGGCAGATTGAGGAAATATCGTCCAACCGTGAAAGGTGTACATAAAATGTTAGTATTTAGTTTTTTGTCATTTTTCAATATTTCAGTTTGCTGTAGTTAGTTTTTAAATTTCACATATTCATTTTACAACGAATCAAAATCATTTCTTAAATTTCAATTTGACACCAAATGCTTTAGTAAATGCAATGAGGTATAAGTTCTCGTAGATTGATATAGTGTGTAAATAAAAAGAAAGCTATTTAATAGTTCTAAAAACCAGCGACCGGTAGTTAAAAACCTATTTTTCCAAATATGTATTTGTATGTATCACAATTGCAGCAAACCTGCAGACTAAGTGAATTTCCATTTGTCTGATCAGATTTTTGCCAAAATATTTCCTTAATATGTCAGATTTATTTGTTTAAATAATAATACATTTAAGTAAAAATTAGTACTTATATCTGCTGCTAAAGGAAAGGACAAATGTGATTTTTCGTTAATGTGAATTGTTCAGTGTGGGATAAACAAACTTGCCGTAAATTCGAAAATATCCGTCCATTAACAAGTTAAATACGACACCTATCTTTTCATTCATGGAATAACATATAAATTTTAACTGTACATGTTTATTACATTTTTCCTTTTATTTACTCATTAAGCGTACAACGCTTCAATATAAGAAATATTTTTTAACTCTACACGCCTAACAAAAAATAGGCATTTAGCCTTTTTAGGGTGTAAATATAATAATATAAATTTAATAACCCCATAAAACTTGTTTCTATTACACAATCCTGCTGGTTCGCAAACGCATTTTTAATATTTATCCAGGCCTAAACATTCATGGAAAATCCCAACAAAATCTTCTTACATTTGCTCACGTTACAAAAGCAATCACACTTTATATATTTATTTATGCTTAGGCCTATCTATATATGTATAAAAAATATTTTAAGAACAGTTTTTTCAGCCTTAGGTACTTTTTACAATCATACAAGTAGGAGTTTCCTTCTTTTCTGAGGTTAACGAAAATAAATTATTATAAGTGAAATACAATTCATAAACATAGCCTAATGTGGATGGTATTTGTTCGACCATTGATTTAAAATCCTATTCAACACCCCTTAAGATACTACGACTATGATCAGCTGGTAAAGCGTTTCCCATTTCGTCC